AGGCTGAGCTGCAATTGTTCAATAGTTGAACAAAGAAGGATTCCAAAACCTTCCATCATATGGACGGTTTTGAGGACCCTATTAGGGTTTCTGGAAGCCTCCAAATGATAAATAGAAAACTAGAAAATTACCTGGTTTGAAATATAATTATTATATGTTCAAATTTTGGGTTTCTAGGGTTTCCAAGTAGTTATAAATAGGGGCATACCCCTATGCATTTTCGGCATGCCTGTGTACCCAGAGAATTTCGACTTCTCTTGTGATCCTCTTTACTCCTCTCTTGTCTTCTAGTTCTAGAGTTTGGGTGTGAGCCATTAGAGACATCATACTTTTGGTGCTTGCTTTCTGAAGACTAAAAGGAAAGGATTAAAACAATTTTTGACTATAACAATTCAAAAGGTATGTAACCCTAATCTCATTATTTTTTATTATTGTTAGGGTTCTTATAGTTCATTTTATGTTGCTTTCAATGTGTGAAGACATAGATCCTTATAAGTTGCATGTACCCTTAATTGGTAAGAATATTTCTGCAAGTACATAATTTTTCGTAACCTATAAATTCCATCAGTTTTTAGATCAGGCGTGATGACAACGGATCTGAATCGTCGCATATCTAAAACGTCTCGTTTGAAGATTCTCTGATCTTGTTTGAAGATTTTTCCACCGAAAACTTAACCCTAACCGCGTTCTTTGTTCTCGTCGCCCTTCTTCGCAAATCTGGAGCATCGCTATCGTCAGTGAGATTTCCAGCAACGACGTTGCTATCGCCCTTCATCTTCTTCGGTAATGGAACCCCTAGATATTCGGTAGCTGGCTAGGAGGTGGCGTTTCTATGAGTTTTCTCCATTGTCGTCATTCAGATCTGGCAGTTGGTGGCTGAACCCTAGCAGCGGGTGACGGTTGGGTAAGGACGTCTCCAGTGGTGTTTCTAGTGAACAAGAGAGAGAGAGAGAGAGAGAGAGAGAGATTGAAGGGTTGTCATTAGGGGTGGGGGTATTTGGTTAAGTTTATATTTTCTTTTTGTTTTGTTTTTAATTAGGAAAATTGTAAAATAAATAAATAATTAGAAAAAGAAAATAATAAGAGCAAAACTACCATATTAAAAAATTTAAAAAATTATGGACAAAAATTGCAGAAAAACTTATTATGGACCACTGTATTAACAAAAATGACAATCTTTTGCTAACACATGGACTATTTTTGCTATTTTGTTTTTGTTTTTTTTTCTACTTATCCTTTTATTATATATCAAGAGAATTATCAAAATAAAAAATAGAGTAAATTACACGAATGGTCCCTATGGTTTGGGGTAATTTGCGCGTTTAGTCTCTAACTTATTTTTTTAACTCGGAATGTCCCTAATGTTTGTTTTTATTACGAGCTTGACCCCTACTGTTTGTTTTAGTTACGCATTTGGTCTCCATCTTACCTAAAAAGACTATTATTTGAATAGGGAAAAATGGTGGGGTGGATAAGATAAGGTGAAGGGGATGGTTTTGGGGGTGTGTTTATTTAAATAAATTAAAAAATTGAGGGTAAAATAGTCTTTTTAGGTAAGATAGGGACCAAACGCGTAACAAAAAAAAACAGTAGGGACCTTCCGAGTTAAAAAAATAAGTTAGAGACCAAACGCGCAAATTACCCTAAACCATAAGGACCATTCGTGTAATTTACTCTAAAAAATAAGAATTATAAGAAAGAATTAGTGATATCTACGTGTTATAATCTTATATGAGTAAAATGATCTATATAAAGAAAAGGTAGAAGGATATATAAATATTTATTTAAAGAAAAGGTAGAAGGATATATAAATATTTATTTTTCATTTATTTAAAGATTTTCATATAGACGGAACGGAAGTTACATTTTAAATTTGTTGTCCAAAGTGCTAATATGATTCTTAAAAATAGATACTATAAAACTTTCATATTGCAATGGTCGTATTTAAAAGAAAATAACTAGATGTAATAATACGATCAATATAATGATGGAAATATAAATATATACATAATAAATTAATAGTAATAATATTTATTTCTAAAATATTAAAATAAAATGATGTTACATTATAGAAAGGTATATAATAAAAGTACAAAAATTCAAAACTTGGAAAGCAAGAACCCTAACGGCTATCTCCCCACCACCTTTCCAACCTCCCATTTGATCTCCCAAAAAGGCCAAAACGCCTTTTGACAGCCTAGACCGCCCCACTACCTCATGATTTAGTATATCATTTATAACTCCATACTTGAAAGACACTATTTTCAGTTCAGTATAAAACTCCCAAGCTTCCCACTCCATACATAGGCTATCATCATCTCCATTCTTTCCTTCTTCAACCCAGAAAATGGGTAAAAGAAGATCACCCATGTTGCAGAAAGTTTCAAATCTCATCAAACTCTCCATTTTCATAGCCAAAATGAGGTTAATCTATCTCAAAAAATCAACCAAACTCAACAAGTTTAAGTCTTTGAAGCACTACAACAGCTATGGGTTCCTTCAAGAACACCAGTTCTCACCTTCAAGCACTCCCCTCATCCGTTTTCATCGCCGCAAAACAAATGGGGTCCCGGTGTATTCGATTTGCTTTCTTTCGTGTTTTGGAGGGCGACATCATGGGGTGATGGCTGATGAGAATTATTCGTTTGAATCTGCCATTATCCAAGTGGAGAGAGAATGTGAAAAAGAAGAAGAAGAAGAAGAAGAAGAAGAAGAAGAACATGAAGAAGATTCAGTAGATGAAAGGGCTGAGAGGTTTATTGAGAGATTTTATGAGGAGATGAAAAGGCAAAGGAGGGAGTCAGCTAATTTTCCTCTCAATAGGATGCTGGAATATTGAGTTCATCACTTCAATTTTATTTATTTTTTTAAATTTTAATTATTTTCTTTATACTTCCACATATTTTGGAAATAGCGGAGTAAGTGAGAGTTGGTTTTCACGAGAGTCGTTTTTTGTCATGTTTTAATTGATTCTTTTGAGTTCATCACTTCAATTTTATTTATTTATTTAGATAGTTGATTTCGTTGTATCTATGAGGTCATTATAAATTTGTAATACCATAATAATAATAAATCATTTTTTATCTAATGTGTTTCAGTTTGTGTTATTACTTCATTAACTTATATGTAGTTATTCATTAAGATCCAGTCAATCCTCCACTCTCATGTGTTCATTGGTGTTGATTTCTTACCAAATCTCCATTCCTAATAATTGCCTCCCCTAAATGCCACATGTCACCTCATTACGCACCATCCTTCCACGTGTCTCTTTCTCAATTCTGTGTAGAAAAAAATTCCCACCCACTGCATTAAATGCATTAAATACGAAAACCAATTACAAAATTACAAAATTTAAATACAAAATCTTTCCCTAAAATCACATTTAAATTTAAACGATGTTTTCTGAATCTTCCTACTAATTAATAACTATGTTGCCATATTCTAAGCAACTTTGAATATTTTTGAATTAAATTGATTTATCTTTTACCCATTATATATGCATTATAATAGGAACTAATTGCATTTGTGATTTTATCATTTATCACATATCACATTTACATATATATCTGTATCTAAATCTAAAATTATTTGTTTACCTTTGCGTCTTTCATAATTTCGTTCTCTGTACGTCTTCTTCACTGCTACTCTGGTAATTCATTATCATCTATATTTTTTCTTCTGTTGAATTAAGTATTGTTCTTCTGTTTATAGTTCTCCTTCTCCTCCTGGTATGCGTATATTTCTTCTTCTTAACAAAAACCTGTTTATCAGTGAACTATATACGCATCAAAAAAATTATATTGTATATTGTTTATCTTTAATCTTTAATAAATTGACGATTGTTCCCTGTTGTGTACCGAAGGTTATTGACAATAATCTGTTCATACCTTCATAGCTGATGTGTATGTTATTGACGATTATGCCCTGTTGATACCTAATTGCAACAAAAAGTTTTCTGATTTTGAGTGTTGTTGTGATTATCTTAACAAAAACTTGTTGATCAGTGAACTATATACACATCAAAGAATTGATATTGTTTATTTTTAATAAATTGATATTGTTTTTCTGTTATTTTTTTTTTCTGTATTGAGTATTTTGTTTATGTATCTGTAATTACACCATTTCTGTAAAAAAAATTATCTACGTCCATATACCATTAAACTAAACTATCACAAATATGTGTTGTTAATTACAAGTGAGATTATTCTGCATTTTGTAGTGGGTGTGATTTTTATAATATTCATATATACCCTGCAAATTGTAGGAAAATAAATATTCATGAAAGAGAGTGGGGCTGCCCTATTCTGTTATTGTTTTTCTGTATTGACTATTTTGTTTATCTAAAAAGGAGAATGAGTACTAACCTGCTTGCGTGAATGGTCATTATTTAAATATATTTACATAAATGGTCCCTATGTGTAAATAATTACTCATGTATAGGTTTTAATTTTTCTTTGCATAAAAGTAAAGCATAAATAGAAATAAAAATAAAATTATGATGCAGTATTAGACACAAAATTTAAAGTACCTTTCTATTTTCTGTAAATTAACATTTGGTGGTGATAATATCATAATCAAACTTACGTTCAGTTATGAAATTAACTATCTAATTATGTTCTAAATATTAACTGTTTTTTTTTAATATAGTACCTTCGAGTTCTAAATATTAACTGTTTTTTCATATATACCCTTCTATTTAATTAATTTTTATTTTTTCTACTTTTTTTGCAGATTAATGGCAGCACCAAATATTACTTTCATAGCTGATGTGGATGTAACTAGGGATGACTTGACTTTTAAGCTTCGTGTCATAAACCTTTGGCATCAAATGTCTTTCTACAACAAAAATGAAATTTGGTCAATTGAAATGATCTTAATGGATGAACATGTATCTTACAAAAATTATTTTTATATATTTCTTACACATATTTCCATAATTTTAATTACTTTACAACTTTTTCTTATTGTATTAAATATTTTTAGGGAACAAAATCCAAGCAATGCTCTCCAAAAAAAACTTATATCGATTAAAAAATGTAGTAAAGGATGGGTTGACATTCTACATCAGAGGTCCAAACTTTGCAGCACTGAAGACGGGTAGTTTTAAGTTAACTCCTCATGATCAGAAATTCACATTCGTCCAACAAACCGTTGTTACAGAGTGTAACGATTTTTCTGGATCTGTGTTTGGGTTTTCATTGAACCATCCTCATGATACATCTGTTGGTTAGTACATATCATTATATGTTTAAATATAATATTATGTTTTCCAATTCCAAACATAACCTTCATTTGCCTATTTTTTTGTTTTATAGATGTTATGAGTTTGGTTGTTGCAATTGCTGAGATACAACAAGGTCATCCAGAAAAATCAAAACACAGGCTGAACATCCGCATCCAAGATGCAAAGTTGATTTTCTTATATCTTTACATCTTCTAATTTATAAATTTTAAATAATATTATCTTAATATATTTTTTTTATAAATAAATTTCTTTTCAGCGGTTTGCAACTTCATGTCAATTTGTGGGGTGAATATGCGTACAAGATGCTTGATTATATACATAACAATGAAGACATTCGGCGCATCGTTCTTATTCTTCAATTTGGTCAGATTAATGTTTGGAGAGGTATTCAAATTATGTTATTAATATTTATGTTATCCTCATTTAAAAAATATTTATATATTTTTTTGTATAGATCGTCCAAGTGTAAACATCTACTTTACATCTTCCAAGTTGTTCATTAACTCTGACATAGATGAAATTACTAATTTCAACAAAAGGTAACTTATTTTTTATTGTGTTTATTGTACAATAAAATCCTTTATGTGATTTTTTTTTGCGTACATAACAGTTTGGATGGAGATGATCGTCCCGATTCATCTACAAATACATTTTCAATTATTCCATCCAATCAAATTTCTGCATATGATGATTTCATGGTAAAAAATAACCTGAAGGGTATCGCTGAGGTTTGGGAACCCGTCGAGGTATTTCATGTCTTATTGTTTGTTTCAATTTAATATGTTGCTTTAAATATTTTGACCATGTTTTGTGTTTTTTTATGTTTGTATTATATAATTTAAATATATATTATTTACAGTTGTCTTATGTATGTTAATCTAAATTACATACCTTTTTTTTGTAGAAATGTAATTTCGTTATCGTGGGTACTATAAAGGGAATTTTACAAAACCAAAAATGGTATTATCAAGCATATACCAACTGTTTGGAAAAACAGATAAAAGTGATCCTCATCAAACAAAGTCTTATGAATGTCATAATGAAAATTGCACAAAAACTACCACTTCAGTTGTTCCAAGGTTGTTACTTTACACTTGAATCGTAATGAACTATCTAATATTTCATGTTTATCACAATATTAATATTATTATCAATTTTTTATAGGTTTATGATTCCTATACGCGTGTAAGATAATACGGGAACTCTAACCTTAACCATGTTTGAGAGAGAAGGGAGGTATCTGTTGAAGCAGTCAGCTAAAGAGTTTGTTACAAAAATGATTGAGGTCTTCTCTTTATTTCATGATAATCATATAACTTTGTTATATACTATCACTTTAAACAAAATGTTTTTTTTATTGTTTTTAATTGTAGCGTGGAGACGATCTTGGTTTATATCCGGGGGAAATTAATGCATTGAAAGGTTTGAAATTGGCCTTTAAAATTTCTGTTACAAAATTCAACATGTCCAACAAAAACAACCAATATGGTATTGCTAGAATCAGTGATGATGAGACTTTAATTGAACAACTTGAAAATAAGTTTGACGAGTCACAGGTTATTTTATTACTTATTTTTCGTTTATTTTATTTAAATATTCTTTAACTTTTTAGAACATTATTTTATTGTTTATTTTTTGTATTATACAACCTTTTAATTCACAGTCGTTAGATTTTGGTTCGGTCGATTTGCAATCTCAAGATATCAAAAATTTAAAGGTTAAATACATTTTAAATTTTTTACATACTCTCTAAAACATAAATTCATTTAAGCAATAATAATATTATACGATTATATTTTTTTTAGGATGCAGTTTCTGGCACGGACGATAACATAACTCCTTCCACTATCGACAAAAACGACACAACAAATCCAATGAAGATTTTGAACACAACACCGGTCTTAAAGCGACATCTGGAAGAAGTTTTCGATTTAGAGATGAATGATCACTTATCTACATCAAAAACTCCAAAAATATCTCCAGATGGTCCAGGAAAACAATTGTTGAAAGTAAAGTTGGAGAAAAATGACTGATTTAATCTTTACTGAGATATTTTAATAGCTGTTCCATTTTGCAATTGCATGGACAATTACTTCTTTTAATTTGCATACTGGATTTTTCACATTGTGGTTTTTCATGGTTCAAACATTTGTTTCCTATGATTGTTTTTTAAATGGTTGTATATTTTGAATGCAGTGGTTTATACAATTGAATTTCAAAAAAGAGGTTTGCCTCATAGTCATATATGTCTATTTATGCATGCTGACTGCAAGCTTCCTACAGTTGAATATATCGATCCCATTATTTCTGCTGAGATTCCAAATATCGATGATGATCCAGAATTATATTCACTTGTCAAGGAGTTCATGATTCACGGTCCATGTGGAGCTGAAAATTTGAATTGCCCATGCATGGTTAACAGAAAGTGTTCTAAAAACTTTCCAAAGCAATTTTGTAATCATACTTCAGTTGATTCAAATGGTTTTCCGTTATATAGGAGAAGAAATGATGGACATTTTGTTAAAAAATCTGGTGTTCAGTTAGATAACATAAGTGTTGTTCCATACAACAAATATTTATTGAAAAGATATCAGGCACAAATTAATGTTGAATGGTGCAATCAAGGATCCTCCATTAAATATTCGTTTAAATATATAAACAAGGGTCCTGATGGAGCTACTGTTTCTATGGAGCGAACCAATAATGATTCTGATAACAACGATGCAGGGGATGAAATTAAAGAATACTATGATTGTAGATATATTTCTGCATATGAAGCATCATGACGGATTTTTAAATACGATGTTCATTATAGGCATCCTGCTATGATTAGACAATCTTTTCATCTTCCTGATCAACCACAAGTTGTATATGAGGCAGACGATGACATTGAAGATGTTCTTGATCGCCCTTCAATTGCTTCTTCGATGTTCACATCTTGGATGAAGTGTAATGCAATCAATAAAGAAGCACGGAAACTTACATATGTTGATTTTCCTACAAAATTTGTTTGGAAACGTAAAGATCTGATTTGGAAGCCAAGGGAAGTTGGATATGCGATTGGTAGAATCCACTCGGTTTCTCCTAAACTTGGAGAAGCATATTTCTTAAGAATTCTTTTAAATATAGTGAAAGGTCCTAAATCATTCGAAGAAATTTGCACAGTCAATGGTGAACTATGTTCCTTCTTTTAAAGATGTGTGTTATAATCTTGTCCTTTTAGATGATGACAAAGAATTTATCGATGCAATTAAGGAAGCAAGTCTTTTCTGGATCTGATTTTTATCTACGGTTCTTATTTGCTACGATGCTATTGTCCAACAGTTTGTGTAAACCAGAGATTGTTTGGCAAAACACCTGGGAATACCTGTCAGATGGAATTCTCTACAATCAACAACAAAGATTAAAGTCTCCAGGTAATCTAAAATTTACTCATTATTATTAAAAAACTATCATATAAAATTTTAGTATAAATCCAATTATATTTTATGTTTTAATCAATTTGTTTTTTATACGTTCTAACTAATATATTATTTTACGTATAGATTTATCACTAAACGAAGATCAACTTAAAAACTTGACTTTGTTTGAGATAGAACAAATTTTACTTCGCAACAATTCCAGCCTTCAAAGTTATGGAAAGACGCCTTACCCAGATGTTGATTCTGTTTCATCTTTAAACAATCGTCTTATTACCGAGGAGCTAGATTATGACATACCAAATTTAAAGAATGAGTTTGATCAGCTGTTTGTTGCATTAACATATGAGCAATGAGACATTTTTGTTGATATCATGGATGCAGTTAAACATAATAAGGGAGATGTATTCTTTGTTTATGGTTATGGTGGAACAGGTAAGACATTTCTTTGGAAGACAATTTCTGTAGCAATTAGATCTCAAGGTCAAATTGTTTTAAATGTTGCTTCAAGTGGGATAGCTTCATTATTATTGACTGGAGGCAGGACATCACACTCTCGGTTTATAATTCCCATAAATCTCATTGAGGATTCTTTTTGTTCAATAAATCCAAAAAGTGATCTTGCCAGTTTAGTAAGAAAAACCTCATTGATCATTTGGGATGAAGCACCCATGGTACACAAACATGCATTCGAAGCTTTAGATCAAACTTTGAAGGATATATTAAAGTGTGTCAATCCTACGAATTCAAATATTCCATTTGGAGGCAAAGTAATTGTTTTTGGAGGTGATTTCAGACAAATTCTACCTGTTGTTCCAGGTGGCAGTAGACAAAACATTGTTAATGCTTCTTTAAGTTCTTCTTATTTATGGCAACAATGCAAAGTTCATAAATTAACAAAAAACATGAGGTTAACTGTTGGAAGCAAGAAATAAAGTTGTCCAAGAAATAAACGATCGTTTGCTGTCATTGTTTCCATGAGAACAAAAAGAATACTTAAGTTCAGATAGCCTATGCCGATCCGAGTTTGTTCATGATGAGTTTGATGCAAATTTATATTCACCTGATGTTTTAAATGGTCTTAAAGTCTCAGGTCTTCCAAACCATAAGCTCATTTTAAAAGTCGGTGTCTCAGTTATGTTATTGAGAAACATTGATCAGAAAAATGGCTTATGTAATGGGACTAGACTACAGGTTAAATCTTTGGGCAAACGTGTTATTGAGACAGTTATCTTATCTGGAAGTAATATTGGAAACCGGACTTTTATTCCAAGAATGTCTTTAACTCCTTCTGAAGACAAGATCCCGTTCAAATTCCAAAGAAGACAATTTCCATTGGATGTATGTTTTGCAATGACAATTAATAAGAGCCAATGACAGTCTTTATCGAATGTTGGTTTGTTCCTCAAAGAGCCTGTTTTCACACATGGTCAATTGTATGTTGCTTTATCCAGAGTTCAAAGTAGAGAATGATTAAAAATGTTGATTTTAGATAAGGAGGGTAGACTAACAAATAAAACTTCTAATGTTGTGTATAAAGAAGTTTTTAGAAATTTGTAAAAAAATTTGTACAATTTTATTATTCATAAAAAATTTCGTTATTTGTTATTTGTTAAATTTATATTTCATTTCATAAAATTATAATTTCTTTGCATATCTACAAAATACAAAATTTCAATTGCATATTCAAACCACTACCGGTTCGTATTATTAACCAACAGTTATGTCGTTATCTTATTAAATAAGTACAATTTAATTAAAAAAATTAATTTTTAATCCGTGGTGCACACGAGATATAACCGAGTACATAAAAAAGTAGTGCAGGCGATGACATTGACAGATAAAACGTATCAAACCAAAATTTTAACCGCCATAAAGTTGAAACAAAAAGTTGATTGCATTTCTTCTGGGATTAATTATTAAAAGATTAAGAGAAGCCCAAGTTGCTATCTTTGATGCCTAATATTTTTATTATCATTAGCCCAATACTACAAATCTAGCCCAATATCATTGACCAATTTCTTGATCAAGTTTATTAGTAAGACAAGAAACAATTTGTTTTCCTTACTGACGATGTCTTTTTGATTAAAAGAAAATAGAATAAAAGTCTTTATATTTTGGTTTTATTAACAAAAACTTTTTTTGTTATTAATTTTTTTTTTCAGTTAAACCATTAAAACCGGCTGTTACTGCAATTTTCAGATTACAACAAAGAATAACAGCTTTCAATGGTTAAATTGTAAACAACATATCAATGGTGGGTTTTTTTGTCAGTAGGGTAAAATATAAGTTTTTTTTTAATGCATAATTTTAACCTCAAGTTTTATCTATATTAAGATTAAGATGGTGTTTGGGATTTCATTTTGAACTTCAAAATGACTTATTGACTTTTGATGGTGAAAAAATAAGTTTTTTTTTTTGTTTTTTTTTAAGTATTTAAATTAGCTTTTGTGGTGGAAAAAATCAACAAGTCAATAAGTTGTTTTTTTTAAGTGTTTATATTAACTTATACATGTTTTCATATTACCAAACACTTTTTTTTTTTTTAATTTATTGACTTTTTAAAAAGCTAATAAGTCATTGTTGATAACCATTATGAAAATCCAAGAGAGAAAAAAGATTGTATAACGTTTCTTGTTTGGATTTTTTAAAATCGTAGGCATATTAATATCATTGTTGTATATTTTAATATACGTTCTATATAAACTAAGAATAATTATTGTTGAGTTATCGCAAGAATAAAGCTTCTATGTCATGTAGAGAAGACTGTTTTGCATCTTCTGCACTGATAGACATATGGACAAATTAGATACACTATTTTTAACCAAATACTTGACATGTGGATGTATATTTCATATTAAATTTTGACAACAAATTTTCATCTGCAGATCATCTTCCTTTTAATCGGCTTTAATATTTTTATTAAATAGACATATAATTAAAAAATTGCATTTATTTATTATCATATCTTAAAAATCAAACAAAATCGTATTTATTTATTACCATATATTGATATATAAGATGCAAAACAATCTTGTCTGCATGACATAGAAGCTCTACTCTTGTGATAACTCGGCAATAAGTATTCTTAAATTATATAAAATATAGATTACAATATATCACGTTGATACCAATATGTCTACGATTTTAAAAATCCAAACAACAAATGTCATACGGTTTTTTTTCTCTCTTGGATTTTCATAATGGTTACCACTGTAACGACTTATTAATTTTTAAAAAGTCAATAAGTTAAAGAAAATATGTTTGGTAATATGAAAACATGTATAAGTTAAGAGAAACACTTTTTTAAAACAACTTATTCATTTATTGACTTTTTCAACCATAAAAGTTAATCAAAATACTTCTTAAAACACTTATTTTCTCACCACCATAAGTCAACAAGTCTTTTTGAGGTTCAAAATGAAATCCCAAACAACCTCTTGATCTTAAAATAGATAAAACTTAAAGTTAAAAATTATTATGCATTGAAAAAAATACATATATTTTGGTCTAATGACAAAAAATCCACCTTTCATATGTTGTTTACAATTTAATCAATGAAACCTGCTTTTGGTTACAGTAACGTGAAAATTGAGCCAATTTGCAAGTAATAGTCAGTTTCAATTGTTTAATTGCAAAATAATAATAATAATAATAATAATAATAATAATAAAATTAGAGTTGACTTTTTTATCATTATTATATATATATTAAAGTTGTGGAAGAAAGGAATAGTAAACTTGGGATACTTTGTCCAAGTTTGGTCCCTTGATTTACATATTCGGTCCCTGTACTTCTTTAATTAATTTATTCATGTCCTTTTGTTTATGTTCCATTCAACTTCCTATTTTTTTGGCAGAATTGGTCTCTGTATTATTGTTGGAAGTTAGGAATACTAAATTTGGATGTTTTTTGACAACTTTGATCATTATTCTTTACCCATTTTGACATTTTTGGTCATTGCAATCAATATTTTTACACTTTTTTGGAACCTTTTAATATTTAAAGTTTGGCCACAAAACTTTAACGGTTTGACAACTTTAATCCCTTTTCTAAAAAGTTGCTAATTCCTACCCCTTTAATTCTTTAGCCATTTTCACACTTCTGGTCCTTGCAGTCAAAACTTTTACATTTTTTGTCCGGGGCAAAGCCCGGACTTTTCATCCTTGCACTTTCTATGTCTGTCATATTTATCAATTCGGAAACAACATTGAAAGCTTCTGGACCCCGCGTGGCGGGGGTAACCTTTCTAGTTAGAATTAAAATATAAGGAATTTTATGCATATTTTCCTTTGTTAAATATGAAGCTCCAACAGTTTTTAAGATTCAAAAAATATATTTGAATTTTATGTAGTTATATATTAGGTTATTGTGAAAAATAATTCTTTTATTTTGCATTTATTATGAAAAACTCATATATTTTTCTAAATGCTTTAGGATCGAATATCTTTTATTTTTTTTATATTTTAAATTAAATTATAACTCGTGTAATATACGGTTAATAAAATAGATAACACTGAAATTTTAAATAATAATTAATCATCTGCAAAATTATCAATCACAGTTGTGGAATTAAAAATATCTATACTAAAAAAACCAAAGTCGAATTGGTTTGAATTTCTTCCAAAATTTCTATTAAATGGTTCATAATGATATTTTTTGTTTTTGTTTTTTTGTTTTTTTTATGATTATAGAACTTAAATATAAAAAATACATCTTCTCTAATAAATGAATGTTTTTTTTGCCATTTGTCACACTCTCATTCAATCTGACAAATGTCATTTTATAATTATTTTGAATTAATTTTTTCCACATGTCATTTTATGAGTTTTTCAATTTTATTAAATTTCACATAATATTTTAATGTAATAATTGCAATAAATGTAGTAATAAATGGATATCAATTTCATTAATCAACTTACCTTTTAATTTCAAAATTCCCAAAATTAAAGCTTATTAATTTCTTTTATTTATTTAAATTATTTGTTTAAATTTAAAAGATAAAAAACATTTTTATTATAATAATTCATTATTTTTCTTATTTTCTTATAAATTCAAAGTTCTCAAATATTTAAACCTTTATATTTAATTTTTTTTAATTAATCCATGTAATACATGAGACTCACAACTAGTATAAAATATATCAACAAACTGTATTTATAAAGAACAAGACCAATGTAATATAGTTTATGAAATTTAGTTATAACATAAAAAGTAAAAAGTCACTCAGAATTTGTTATGCTCCGTGAATGAAATAACAAAACGGGTGAGAAAAGGGAATTTTGTTCATGATTTTTGGGATTCCTAATAGCTATTTTAAAATTTTAAATTGAATTGAATAGACAAAAATGAATGT